CTGGTTTCTGCTGGTCCTTTGCTGGTTTAAGATGGTCCTTTGCTGGTTTCTGCTGGTCCTTTGCTGGTTTATGCTGGTCATAACCCGCAAAAGGACCAGCATAAACCAGCATCCCAGCGTCAAAACATACATAACCAGCATATGCTGGTTTTTTCAACAGGGTGTGTAAACACATTTTTTTTCAGCTCCAGACCGAAAGGAAAGTGGGAGGAGAACTAGGATCATGTGACTCTGATGTATAACCAGAACTAATATATTTCTCCCAGGAACAACATTCATTCAAACCTCCTCAAACAAAAGCAGAAAGAATCACGAATCGCCTGAAATGAACATGAGAGTTTTCTACAAGAGTCTGTTGTCTTTACTGGGTAAGATATGTCTCGTATCTTAATGAGCTACAGTCTGTTTTCAGCTTCATCTTTCAGACAGAGAAGCACTTAATAAACACAGAAGACCCTAAACTATAATTGAATGTGTTGTTGTTGGTTCATGTTATCTAGACACCCTTAAACATATAATTTAGCTTCTCAAGTAAAATTATTTTAAGACACTAATACATGATTTACACATATACACATATATATATACACATATACATGTATATATATATATATATATATATATATATATATATATATATATATATATATACACACACACACACACACACACAGTGTTTCCCATATATTTGTGGCAAGGCCTCATTTATAAAACGCGCAACGTTGCCGTGGATTTTTGCGTATGCACACTCTACGATCAAATCAGTGAGTACGCAAAAATCCACGGCAACGTTCATATTTATAAAAACGGTCTTTGATGTGGAAAAGAGCTTAGTGCCACGTCAGGGTCTGAGCAGACGTATGCACTTGTTTGCCCGAGTGCTGCAGGTTTTTGGAAATATAAGCCATTCTTGCCGCTTATAAAAGATGTCAATGTCCAAATATTTTACAAGTCAAGGACATTAATTAGACATTGTTTACAGCACACGTGCATGTAAATATACATGTAAATATTTTCTAAATATATACTCTATGTGTGTATTTATATATACATAATAATTGAACAGTACACAAATATATATTATATTGTGACGAGTGGGGGCGAGGCCGAGAGCCGTGGGAACAGAGTGAGGCCGGTGGAGTAATTGATAATGAGCGACACCTGCGCCACTCACCGGTCTCGAGTTTCACGGAGGAGCTCCGGAAGGATAAAAGGGAGGAGTGACCACAGTGTCGGACGAGAGAGGACCAGGCCTGGAGTTTATTTTGCGTGCGGTGTGCGGCAGTCGTCCGCGAGGGGTTGCCACTTTTCTTGCCGCTTATAAAAGATGTCAATGTCCAAATATTTTACAAGTCAAGGACATTAATTAGACATTGTTTACAGGGCGGAGATCTGAAACTGTTCAGCTGCGCACAATTTCAAGACCATTGCAATTTATAGATTTCACATCTAAAAGAGAAGTACACACTTTGAGAAATTATCGTAAAATCCAATTTAGGATTCTTTCAACGCAGTATTTTATAAATGAGGCCCCCGGTGCGGGTGTTTTTAGGGGGGGCGAGGCCGAGAGCCGTGGGAACAGAGTGAGGCCGGTGGAGTAATTGATAATGAGCGACACCTGCGCCACTCACCGGTCTCGAGTTTCACGGAGGAGCTCCGGAAGGATAAAAGGGAGGAGTGACCACAGTGTCGGACGAGAGAGGACCAGGCCTGGAGTTTATTTTGCGTGCGGCAGTCGTCCGCGAGGGGCTGCCGCTTTATTTTCATTTTGTGTTTATTTTATTTGATTAAAGTAGTTAAACGTTCACCGGTTCCCGCCTCCTTCTTCCTGATCTATGAACTACGTTACATATATAAACAAAAACTTTTATTTTGGATGCGATTAATCGTCATTAATCGTTTGACAGCAGTAATTAATACATATACTAGGAATCCGACTGTCCTCAGAAAATTGGATGTCATTTTCATTTCATCTTGCATGTAATGTCTGATAAAGCAGCGTTTGTGAGCGGAGCGCTACTTCGTGTACAGCGTTACCGGGGAAACCTCGATCTCTCCCGCTCTACAAGCGCCTCCTGCTGGCAGAGAATGAGTTTGCATATATGTGCCGCCACAAATAGAGTGCACGTCTGTGGGAAACACTGAATATAACCATGTGATATTTCAGTTTTTCTTTTTTAATAAATCTGCAAAAATGTCAACAATTCTGTGTTTTTCTGTCAATATGGGGTGCTGTGTGTACATTAATGAGGAAAAAAAATTAACTTAAATGATTTTAGCAAATGGCTGCATTATAACAAAGAGGGAAAAATTTAAGGGGGTCTGAATACTTTCCGTACCCACTGTATTTTCACTCGCCGAACACTGACTGAGCGCATCAGAGTTTCACTCTCCGCCAACCGATCTGTGATATTTTTCAGTTCATCTTGAATGGATGCACAGCGCACCTGTGTTTGACGTACCGTAAACTCTAGTGTGACGCGCACGACTCGCCGTCGCTTTGTTTCACACATGCAGAGAGAGAGAGAGAGAGAGAGAGGGAGAGAGGGGCTTGACC